GGTGCCCCAGGTACGGGGTGTCCTTAAACCTACGTTTTGCTATCGGTGTGGCCGGGCTGAGTGGGGAACCGTGAGCACAGTGATGGCTGCAGCCACGTGCCCGGATGTCCCCTGAGAACTCAGCGTGTGTCAGGCGCTGCTCCAGGGATAACTCACTTAAACTCCACTTTGCAGGTGGGGAAACTGAGGCCCAGGGGGACGGAACAGCACCTCTAAGGGTATGCATCTGGTAAGCGTCCCCCGGGGGGTACAGTTGGGGGGTTCTCTCCTCTGGGCCTGGCAGGAGGAGGCAGCTCCTGGCAGCGTGGTGGAGAGCGGGTTGCCTTGTCGGGAGGCATTGCTTACCTCCACCCTCGGCACTGAGCTGTGTGTGCTTTGGGGGTGTCGGGGTGCTGAGGTCCAAGGTGGCAGGTCACTCAGAGTGTGTCATGGCCCAGAAGGTGAAGCCACTGCCCACCAGGGGCCCTGTGGCTTCTGACTCCATCCTATCTGGGCCAACTGTCAGTTTTGAAGTCCAGATCACCCCAGGTGTCAGAGGAGGGAGGAGGGCCTGGGGGCAGGGGGGAGAAGAGGGGTGGCCTTCGGGGTGCGGGCAGCCCAGGGTGCGGTGTGCCGAGGGGCAGAGGCAGCCACAGCGCTGCTGTGGGGACCGCTGCGAGCAGACACGGACCCATTTCATGCCGAAAACCACCTCGAGAGCGGGGAAGGCTGCTGGTGCCGTTCGCACACGCAGAAATGGAGGCGTGCACAGACGGACGCCGTATCCGCCCGGATCGCACAGCCGGAAGGCGGCGGGGCTGACCTTTGAGCCCAAGGTGGCCCTGCCCTGCCACCCAGACCTGAGAGGTGGGCCGGTGTGAGGACACGCAGGCACCCTCGGACGGGCCGTCGCCCTCTGGGCCCCGCACCGCTCCTTGGTGGGGACCCGCAACCCCACCTCCCACCTCCCAGGAAGGACGGGCCTTCCACACACTAGGTTGCTGTCCCCCACTTGGCCCCCAGGGTTTAGGCCTGGCTGTGTCGCCTGGGGCGAGTAGCTCAACCTCTCTGTGCCTCAGCGGCTTTACCATGTGAAGTGGGGTAACACTCCCTTTTCTCACAGCCCGCGTGGAAGGCTTGAGAGAGTGAGTATAATCAGGGGTCCCATAAATGTCAGCCGCTCCAGGGGCTCAGGGCGATGCTGCCGGGGAGGCTGCAGGCAGGGTCCTTGGGCTCCTGCAGAAGCTGGGCTGGGGACTTCCGAGGGGCCCGGCTTACAAGGGGGTCCTGTAGAAAATCAACCCTTGCAAAGTAAGGGTTTTTGACTTTGGGGTGCTGGAAGGGAGGCCCCTTCGGGAAGGAAGTGCAGGAGCTTAACCTGGCATCTGTGAGGGGCATTAAGGTGCTGCACAATGCCCCAAACCGTGGGGGGAAACGTCATGTGTCTGGCCACTTTTGGGGGGCGGGGGATCCTGGAAGTTCACAAGCTCGCCCGTGCTGTGCCGGCCAGCAGCAAGGCAGCCTATGGCCAGCAGAGGGCGCTCGGCCCAAGGCTGTGAAAGGCTGGGCACCCACTCAGCAGACAGCTGGGCCCAAAGCAGCTGCTGGAGCAGGGACCCACCTGGGATGTGGCTGGCACTGGGAAGCCCTCCTTTTGTAAAGACCAGCCAGAGCGTGGTGCTGGGCGGGAGGCTGCTCCCACCCGTGGGGCCCCTGAGGTCACAGCTACATGATGGTCCCTCGTGCCCTGGGTGTCCCCCGCGGGGGGCTCCTTGAGATAAGGGGGAGCTTTCAGAAGTACCGCTGCCCAGGCCCCACCCCCAGAGACTGTCCCCGTCGGTCGGGGGTGGCCCCGGACAGCGTGCCCGGAGCTGAGCATCACTGCTGCGTGCCCCAGCCCTCTGCTGTCTCTGTTTCTGCCCATTTTACGGAGCAGGAGTTGAGGCTCAGAGGCAGCGAGCAGGCTCACCCGAGGCTGCACGTGGGTCCTGGGCGAAGCCCCGTGCATTCTTCCGCCTCGTGATGTGACTGGCGACCGTCTGACAGTCCCGCAGGCTTTCTCCACCTGGCCCTGCTGACATTTGGGGCTTGACGATTCTCTGTGGTGGTCGGCTGCCTAGGTCCAAGCCCTCAGCCCCAGAAGCCTTGCACGCAGAAACAGACTTTTTGCAGACGTGATTAAGGGCCCCAAATAAGCACCAGGCGACTCATGAGGGGCGGGGGGGCGGGCGGGATTGGAAGATGCGGAGCACCCAGGTGTGAGGACAGGGGAGGAGGGCGTGGGCGGCTCTGGGAGCTGAAGAAGAAACGCAAGGCATGGATTCCGCCCCGGAGCCAGCCCTGCCGACAGCCCGACTTCCAGCTCGGCGAGGCCCGGGGGGGACCTCTCACCCCCAGTTTGTAAGATAATAAATCTGTGTGGTTTTAAACCTCTTCATTTGTGGCAATTTGTTACAGCAGCAATAGGAAACTACCCCCCCGCTTCCTCCCCCATCTACCGGTGACAATGTAGAGTCTCCTGACTTGTCATGTGTCCCCCGGGTGAGCAGGATGCGGGTAAAATGGTCCTGGGGGGAACCACTGAGCCGATTATTCTTCATCGAGTTCTCCCCACATGCGGTCCAGCCAGCTGTGGCCCAACCAACCCATCCAACCCTCTCGAAAACCGGAACCAAGCGCACCTGACTGCCTCTCGGCCCATCCTGTGGGGTGTGTGTGTTGGGGGGGGTGGGGCTGGGGCACACGGATGGGGAGGGCAGAACCAGACTCACTCCAGAACCTCCGGGCCTCCAGTCCAGACTTGTCAGTGCACTCCCATGCCCCCCACCAGCGGGTCGCTGTCCCTGCCCCACTCCCAACTGGAGCCCCTGCCAGGCCCCTCAGGGGCTCTGCAGCCCAGGTGAGGGGCGTTCAGGCCTCCACCCCCACCTGACAGCCCCGCCCTCCGGGCTGGGTGGCCTCTTCCTGTCGGGGCTGCTTTTCTAGCAGCTGGAGGAGACTCAGCTGATGGTGGCAAAGGCCAGAGGCTCCTGGGTGGCAGCAGGGGAGGGAATGAGCCAATGAGCCACAAAAAGGTGGGCCAGGTGGCGAGAGCCAAGCAACACGGTTAGGAGCCCTGGCTTAGAAGTCCGTGGCCTGGGTTCAAATCCTGTCTCTGTCCCTTGGGCCTGACCTCCCTGAGCCTCGGTTTACCTCTCTGGGCATTGGGCTCCTTGAGGGTCACCCAGGGCTGGCTGCCCTGATTCTCTAGTTTGCTTGCACAGAGAGCCCTTGTTTCACAGACCCCCTGAAGGAGGAGTGTCTCAGAGAATACAAAACACGAGTCCTGCCCCGTCTTGTCATCTGATGCAGCACGGCTGCTCATGGGGTGGTGGCGTTCTGGTTCCACCCATCAGAACAAGAAGTCTGATCGATGTGACGCCTCTGGGTGATGGGTTTGTGATCAGGAAGGAGGAGGTCTGGTTCAGCATCTGGAAGGCTCAGCCCTGAACATGGGCTCCAGGCGTCGGCCTGGTCAGGTCATTCCCTTCCTTGGCCCTCATTTCCTCATCTGCTGAAGGATGCTTAGAAAATGCCTCGCGCTCTGTCGGGCTTCATGACTCTAAGCTCCCCCAGTGTCAGAGGTGGACCCGGATTCGCTCCAGCAAATGGCTCCCAACCCCATGGCCAGCTGGAGATGGCAAAGCCTAGAGTGGTTTAGAAGCTACTTTTGTCCCTGGTGAGGATGTGAGGGCTGGAACCACAGCAGCCTCTTTGTCAATACCAGGGCGGAATTCCTTGTGGCTGGAGCGTCCCCATGTGCTACCCCCCCTCCCTTAGACAGCGTTGATGATAAAGCTTGGAAGTCTTCGTCTGTTCACTGCATTTTCTCTAGCTCCTCACAATTCCTCTCTTATGTTTGTTTGCTTTATTTGTCTGACCTTCATATCGAAAGCTTTTCTCAAGTGTCTTGGGAAATGAAATTAAAAAATCGAATTCGAGTAAGATTTCCTGTAACTTACAGGCTACTAATGACCTCCACACCTGCCCACCGTACACACTCCCCAATTTAAAGCCACATATGCCTACCGATTGCACCTCGTCCCCCAAATATTCTGTGAAAGAAGCAGAAGAGAATTCTTGGTGTTGTGCGAAGTAGAAACAGGCAGAGAGGGTTAAATGACTGGGTGGCAACACGACCCTGCAGAGCGAGTCAGCTCCATGACTGTCCCTCAGATGAAGTGCTTGCTCTTTCCTTCGATAGAGAAGATTTGGGGAATCCTGGGAAGAAGCACCTATGTCCCCTTCCTGAAATGGGCGCCTGACGTTTGTCAGCATGGTGCCCTTCCCTCTCCTTCCTGGGGAGAGGTCCGCAAGGTGACCTCACTTCCCCCAGTGCATCAGTCAGTCAGAGCACTCCATGCTACCTGATTGGTCCAAAGATCGGCATGTGACCCGTGCTCGCCCAATCAGAATCCTCCCTGGGACATTCTACCAGCAGTATTTAGCTTGAAGAGTTGTCTTCCTGCTCGGGTTACTAGGTTGGCAGGTCATAGCCTTGGGCGACGGGTGACCACATAGAGTCAGAGAGATGGAGAGAAAGGGGCCTTAAAAAGCTGAAATCCCTGGATCCAGCCATTCCTAAAGTTGGTCTCCCTTGATTTCCCAATTGCATGAGCAAATAGATTCCCTTTTTTAAGCCTGAGTGAGCTAGATTTCTGTCACTCGCAGCCAAAATGCTCCTGAGTTACTCTCCAGACTTTTTCTTGCTCTAAGCCTAAGCCTCTAATGTCCAGGAGACCCGTCTGGGCTCGTCGGAGCTGAGCAAGGAGGCTGGGGTTGAGGACCTGGAATTGCCTTTGTCGGCAGGTCATGGTGGTTTTGGAAAATTACTTCTAACTCATGGAGCAAATTCCTCCTCCCCACCTCCACCCCAGCCCCATGTCCATCTTCAGGGGTCTGCAAGTTCTGTGTGCACACAGCATCGCGGAAGGAGGGGCGGCGGTGGCCGAGCTAGTGACAGCCAAGGGCTGGGGGATGAACAGGCTTAATCATTCTCTGCTTTTAATGGTGGCTAGTTAATTTCCTTCCTGAAGAGAAGAGAATTGACCTTCACCTCCAGTTCCCATTAACTGCTGGCAATGCTTGGTCAGCATGTTTACGACAAATTAATTATATAGAAAGGGGAAGTCTCGCTGGACAAAGGAGCGTTGGCTTTGGGCAGGCGGCGGGAGCTGAGCCTGACCTCTGCGATGCGTCGCCGTCATATGAGCCTGGTCAAGCACAGACCTGGGGCAAGCTTCGAGGCAGGCAGCGGGTCACCGCAGAGGAAACGTAATGCCAGAAGCAATGAGCCAAAGCCCACGTGAGCCGCCTACACCTGGCGGTATGTCTGGGGTTCTGTCCACTCAGGGGTCCTCGTCTGCACCTTGGGGATCTCTGCTTTCAAGAGTCACAGCTTCCAAGTGGGAGGAGAAAACGGCAATATCGGGGTCAGCCTGACTGACGTCATCACCGTGAGAGAACTCGTCAGGCTGCGTAGCTTCCTGGCGAGGAGCTGGGGGGAGACGTAGCCAAAGGAATGTGTGAGCCACCTCGAAGAACCAAGGCGATTCGGTTCACTGGGGACCGAGGCAGCTGCCCCCGGCCACGCGCTTGCCAGGTGGACTGGCCTCCTGTCCCCATCTCCAAGGCCCCGTCTTTCCTCACCTGGACCATCGCAGTAGCTCCCTGCTCCCTCTTTGCTCTGTCCCCAAACTGTCTTCGAGAATGCTTTGAGATCGGGCACCGCGGCACGCGGACCCTGCTCACTTCTCCCGGGCTTCCCGGCTCTGCGAGTCGCCGCCCTTGCTCACCCGTCCACTCCCTCTGCTCCCTCAAACCCTGCACACGATCCTGAACAGGTCACCCCTGTTCCCACTCCCGGGCCTTTGCGCTTGCTGTTCCTGCCAGCTGCAGTGCCCTGCCCAGATCTCTGCTTGGCTGGCCACCTCCTCCCAGAACCTTCTCTGACTGCCTGGCTAAGACGGCCACTCCCCCACCTGCCCGGGTTTGTTGTTTTTTTTACAGGCCTGGTCCTTTCTTTGAAAAGCTTGATTGCTTTGCGAGTCATCTCTACTCCTTACTGGTCCAGGATCCCCACAAGTGGGAAATATTTATCTCTTTTGCTCAGGGCTCTATCTCCAGGCGAGGGAGTGTTTGAGGGTGAGGCTGGACCACAGTCAGTGAGTAAATGTGTGAACTGCTTCTTTCTAATATTTGAAAGATGGAAGAAGCTACAGCATGGCTTCTTGGGAAGTATCAGTGAACTGGGCGGCTAAAGTGGGGTGGGTAAGAATAGAGGAGAGATTTCACGTTACAGAAGGTTCCAAGGAGGGCCAGCTTCACGGGCATGTAGCTGGTCAGGCTATTCTTACAGTCCTCGTTTTACAGATGGGGAAACAGGATGAGTGATGGTTCCGTCGCTCGGGCTAGAAAGATCTGAGCCCACGGCCTCTCACACTCTCTTCATGATGACACCCCGCTCCCTCCCTCCCAGACTCCGGAAACTGGGAGACTCATGGATGACTGCTCAATAAATGAATGAGAGGGAGAGGGGGAATACTCAGGGGCGCACCGTGCCCCCCGCCCCCCCCCAGGCTCACCTGTGTCCTCTGCCGGCTCCTCAGAGTCCCTGCTGCCATCTCCAGGCCCTGCCCCTTCTCCTGGACTGGCTTCCCCCAGATCCACACTCATTATGTTGCTGTTGCCAATGGTGGCATCCTCCAGAAAGCAGGACCGGATATGGACTCTCTGGGCCACATCCCCCGCGGGGTGAGGTCCTGGTGCCGGCATCTGAATTTTGAACGAAGTTTCTGGGCCAGCAGCCGTACCAGAGACTGTGGGTCAGCCCAAAAGAGAGAAGAGAGGTCAGGAGGGATGTGTGAGCAGCCGGGTGGTGGCCTTCCGCTTTCGAGTCCTCCGTGGCTGACCCTCTGCAGCCCTCCTCCTGGAACTCCTCGCCCCGACCCTGCTCCCCACGGCTCCGCACTGCGGGCTGCTCACAGCTCAGGCTGCAGGCGCTCTGCCCTCGCCGCCCCCCGCCCCAGGTCAGCCAGCTGGGATCCCGCCTCCTCCTGTGGCCCAGCTGACCTGGTCCTCCACCTCCCTGGGGCTCATCCTCTCCCTCCTCCCGCTCCTCCTGTCTCTGTGCAGGCTGCCCAGTGCTGTCTCCAACTTTGGTTAAAATCTTCCCGCGGTCCCAGCTCCCGCTGTGTTTCTCCTGCCTTTCCTATCCAAGCTTCAGAAGAGACTTGTCAACCAACGCTCCAGCTCACCTCCCCACACCCCCCGCCCCGTCCCCTCAGGTCACCACGGACCCCTCGGTGCTGGACCCTCTGGAGCTTTCCTGACCTCGCTGGTCCCTCTCTTTTGGAACCTGCGTCCCTGGCTTTCTCCCTCCCGCCCAGGCCTGTCTGCTGGCTTCCTCCCCCAGCCCGTCTCTGGATTACCAGTGACAGGAAGGACGCAGCCTGGGGCCCTCTGGTCACTGTCCATAGTGCTTAGTAGGGCACCAGGTACTTAGGTGGCTCCTGTCTTCCATCCTCCCTAGATGCCATTCTAGCTGGCCCTGTCCTCTGTCCTCGCCTCCTCCGGCCTGGCCTCTGCCCTTCCATGCCCCTTGTACGGATGGAAAAACGGGTTTCCTGAGGCAGGCAGTAGGGATGGAAACTGCTCTACTCTGTGGCACAGCCTCCTGGTGGGTGGAAAGGAATTTCCCATCATGCCTCGCTCCCTGCAAGACTGGCTCAGGTTCCATCTAGTGAGGAGCCAAATGGGTGGGGGTGAGGCGGGATGGCTGCATGAGCCCCAGTTACCTGGGGGGCTGCCAGAGGGGCTGCCAGAGGAGCTGCAGCTGGGGCCCGTGGCTGGGGCGGCCTGAAGGCTCATCTTGTTGCCGTGTCCCAGCTGCACCCTTCTGAGCACAGACTTCTCCATGCAGATCTCCTGGGACCCCCAGGATTCAGCCGGGAGATCCTGAGCTGAGAGGTCCGCTGGTTCTGGTAGAGGCAGGTTGAGGGGAGCCGAGGGGTCTGGCAGGAAACACAGCAACACGACCTCTGACCAACCCCCGAGTGCCCCCGCCAACACCCGCACACAGAGTCCCGGCCGGACAGAAGCGACAGGCCTCCGAGTCCTCCTGGACACCAGCAGACAGGGGACGACGACTCCAGGCTCTGGGCTGGACAGCAGGTGGGCCCAGCAGAACGGTCAGCGTGGGTTCCGCAGGCTTGTACCGCGGGTGCCTGGGGAGTCTCTGGGGCACTCGTCAACCGAACCGTGAGCACATCCTCAGCTTCCTAGTGGCTCTCGACCCCCGAGCCCGGCGGGGCGGAGCCTCCTCTGGTGTCACTGCGTCTGTAACGTCCCTCGGCTCCTGGGGCCCAGTGCCTCCCACACCGTCTTATTCTCTCGACGTTTGATTTTAGGGAGACCTTCCTGGGTTCCAACGTGAGGTCGCACTATACACGTTTACTTTAAGATGCGTTTGAGTAGAACAGAAAGGTAAAGCATTTACCGATATTAAGTAAATCATCAGACCACAGCATGGCCGAACCGGGAGGGGATCTGGGGCGGGGGC